ACTTTAATATAGAAGGAGTATTTTGAAGAGCAATGTTCAAGAGAGTTGAGAATTTTGAAGGTAAGATTCCAATTTATATCAGATATATAATTGTTAAAGAATTTGAGAGAAGTCCATAAAAGAAGTTCTTGAATTGTAATATTGCTTTTGATGAATGAGTGAATTTTGGATGTTATTGTATGATTATACCAAAGAAAGTGGGTGGGAAAGTTAAAGTATAAATAAAAAATTTCTATAATTGGTTTGGCTGTGCCGCATTTGGCTAAGAGGTTTGCTTGGTTATTAAGAGAGCTAGCTGAATGTGATTTAACTTTAATAAGGTTAATAGAAATATTTTTTGTTATTAGAAGTGAGTTGATAATAGAAATAATGTCTCAATTTTTTTGTTGAATGAGTTTATGAGATGTAAAGCCTGATAAGCCTTTAATTGCTGAGAGGTTGTCTATATAAATAGTAAGTGTAGAATTAAATAATAAAGTAAGAAGTAGAGAAATGGTTGCTATTAGTTCTGAATGAGTAGAATCAGGAGAAGGTGGGATTGCTGCACTAAAATTAATAGAGAGGTTATTTTCACAAATCCAGCCTATACCAGTTTGTATATTAAATGTTTTAAGATTTTTAATAGAAGCATCAGTATAAAATTGTAAGTCAGTTGTGTTTAGATTCAAAATATTGTTATGTAATTGAGTTAGATAATTTTGATAGTTAGGTGTTTTGATAATATGTTGTATAAGATGTATTTCCTGAGAGGGTAAATTAATTTGAGGTTGGTATAGAGATGGTGGAGTAATAGTAAGGTTTTTAGATATATTAATTATAGTAAGGATCTCTTTATAGTCTATTTGTAAGAATGGTTTTTTAAAATTAATTTGTTTATATGGTAAATTAATAAAAGTAGGGTTGGATGTTGTATTATTAGTTTTAGTTAATTCTGTAAATCCTAAGAATGTTTGGTCTGTTTGTCTTATAGTTAATAAGGTTATTTGATAGTAGGTAGTTTGAGAGTTAAGTTGATTGGCAATTATATTTGGATTATGTAGTAGGAGACGATAGGGAAAGAGTGAATTTGCTAAAGATATTAGATTGGTAGTATTAATGAAGCAGTTTATTGGGGGTAGTTGAAGATGGGGCCATGTAGTTTAAATAGAATTAGTAAGTTTTTATTATATATAAGATAGTAGAGTACTAGAAATAGTGTTAAACTACAAGTATATAAAGATGTAAATTATCTCTTAAATAATAAAGACAGAATTGCTAAAGTTAAAATAATAATAATAATAATATCAAGATCAAAAGTGAGTCAGTTTCTATAAAAATTGTATTTTTATAGCTAGCTATGGTGCAAGACATCTATACTCAATGGTTACATGAAGTGTTTCAATTTTTTAAATGGCTATAACTTTTTATCTAAGAAGTTTTAAAAAAATCTGACAAGTAACTTTATAGAGCTATATCAGCTCTACATATGTGCCAAATATCACTTCAAAATCTCATTACTGTAAAAAGTTTTAGCGATTTGAAAATTGAAAATTTATATATAAATTTATAAATTTATATATAAATTTTCAATTTTCAAATCGCTAAAACTTTTTACAGTGATGAGATTTTGAAGTGATATTTGGCACACATGTAGAGCTGATATAGCTCTATAAAGTTACTGGTCAGATTTTTTTAAAACTTCTTAGATAAAAAGTTATAGCCATTTAAAAAATTGAAACACTTCGTGTAACTATTGAGTATAGATGTCTTGCACCACAGTACTAATCTGAACAGTTTGTATAGCTAATTCTTTAGTTTAAATTTTTATACAATAAATTTCTGGTTTGATGTAACATTTAATAGAAATTACTGAGAATTTTGTAATATATTGAAAAAAATAAAATAAAATCTATTTAAAATAAATAATGAAATGAGAATCTATCCTTTTTATATTTTTTATTTGTTATCGTAAGCTCATTTATACTTAAATAAAAATAATATAACAATATTTTAATCTAATATTATGTAAAATAAAATTTTATTGTAATTACAAAACTTTTTATTAGTCTTTAAAAATCTAAATTTGTTGATAAAAATTATAATGCTATGCTATGTAAGTGAACAACATTTAATATAGTTCTAAACCATTGTGTATAAATTACTGGTAAACTAACTGATCCTCTAAAAATAAGTATATAACCTGGAATTGATGCTAAAACTGCAAAAATCTACACACCTGTATATAATTCAATTGGAATATCCACAATCAATTCTTTGAAATGTCCTAATCTATTTCTCAATTCCTCTACTGATATTTGATATTTATTTGCCATTTTACAAAATTTCTCATCATTAGAACGATTTCTAACTAAACTTAGAATATCTTTCCCACTCACTTCCATATTATCTGCATATACCTCTAACATTTGATGATTACTAAATACTGATGCTAGTTTTCCTATATGGGTTAAATAATTTCCAGTACAACAAAACATAAAACAAAATATTAATACATTGCTAATGAATAACCAAATTATTTGACTACGTGAAGAATTAGTACAATTAGCACTAGTCCACTCTTCAGTAATAGATACAATAAAAAAACGTATTAAATATGAAATAAATGTCACTTCAGGAAGAAAAGGATTTGGTAAACTTAATAAATTTACTATAACCCTTACAAATACTAATAATGTTATACCCCAACTCTGTAGTGAATTATTTGAGCTTTTACATCAATCAATATCATCGCTAACTCCAATAATCACTCCAATGATCCCAATAAAACTTAACAAAGGAACCACTATTGCTAAAATCATTGATAACTTTCCTTTATTTTTATACCATCCTTTTCTTCCAGTATAGGTAGAGTATAAACCTAAGACAATACCAACACTCGTACTAATTACTATACTACCAGCAAAACTGGCTAATTTGTCATCTGACATAGGTTCAATGACTTTACTGGCACTCGTTTTCTTTTTTTTTTTTGCAAAACTGAATAAATGGCGTTAATTACTCATAAGTTTATTTTAAAGGTGCCTTCTTTTAATGTTAGTGTTTAAATTTGAAAATTTGAAAATAGGTTGTGTTTGTTTAATAATTTATCTTAATTATAATAAAGATATATTTTATAAATCGTTTTCTTAGTTCATTTTAATCAGAAACTATATAAATAGCGTTTGAATTTTTCCGATCCACTAAGTATAATGTAGTAATCGTTGGCGCAATGATTGTCATAGTGAAAATCATACAAAAATGACAATATAGATTGTATATCTAGTATATTTTTGACATGCAAGGATGTTGTTCATAAAATTATCAAATTTTGCGAATCACAGTGCATATGTGCAATCACTTGATTGCGTGATTTCCTTAGTGAAAATCCAATGCAAATAAATATTTTTAAGAGTTTCTTATATACATACCTTCAAAATAACATCTACTGTATATTCTCAAACCAACTTACACAAAATCTGTTCAAAGATACATACAAATCACACAAAATCAGATTACTACCAGTACGGATCGATCTACGATCTGAAAGTGATCTAGGACAGCCGCAACTAAGCTGCTTAGCCGACTAAGCCAGCAGATGTAATGTAATTATTATTATTGCGGTTTGCAAAATATGTGAAATTTGCTCTGATTGCCGATTTCTTTAACATTACTTCTGATGACGTATGTATATCAACTAATATTATACTATACAAAGTCTTGTATATATTTTTTAACGTACATTTTTTTAAAAAAAAATTTATTTCTAATGACTAAAATTATTATCCCGGAACATGCTCTGGATGCACCAAGTGTTTTTTTTTGTCATCTAGAATTTATTGTAATGAAAAAAATGTATATATTCCAATAAAAAAAGGTATGCTTAGCAATATCATGTAATAATTCTTATAAGATTTAACTTAATGCAGCTTTTAAATTTTCTTCTTGCTTATCATGCAATACTGTAGTAAATTTTACCGGGCTAGAAATGAAACTACAACTTTTATTTCTGCAAAAAATGGTAAAAAATCGGCAATAAGAATCAGAAATCATCTTTTTTTTTGATCTGTAAATTTCACATTTTTTTGCAAACCACAATAATTACTAGTTGGTATATGGAAATGGCTTGGATATAATTGTGTAGGCATTAATCACAAGATCAATGTATAAAACAACTAGTCGATTAGTCAACTAATCGATTAACTAACTAGTCGATTAATCAGTTAATCGATTAATCGTCGACAATCGATTAGTTGCCAATTCGATTTTCAATTTGGAACACTAGCTCAAATTAATGAATTCAAACTTATTAATTTAGCATCTTAGACATCTATGATAACACAGCTTTATTTTTTAGAATACTATTAATTTGACCAAAACTACTTTTATTAAAAAGAAAATCTTTTTTGCAGTTACGATTGGAACCAGAGAATTAAATTTATAGCAAAATGTTAACATTTTTCATATACTGTAACCATAAGGTTTTTAGTCATAGATAATATGGTCAAATTTTTTATTATATTAAAAGGTCATAAAGTTATATCAACTTTCATTATTACCCGCGTTAACCATCAGTGCTAAACTGTGCATGTATGCATTTGCACTTTCAACCCAGATAGAAACGACAGCGATCTCAAGTTTGTGAAACACAAGATGATCAAGACCTAGAAGCTCATCTGTTAATCCATAATCCGACAGAATAACATCTATTGAATGTGTTAATGGAATTTGTCAACAATTTAAAACTTCAAAGATAAAAAACAGAAAAACGAGTATACATACTATCATCTATATACTGAAGCTTAGCATGTGATTGCGCTTGTACAACTGCACCTTTTACTTTCGAGAAATCCTTTTCATTTATTCCTAAGCGTAGTTTAAGGCGTAATATTGTCGTAGAGAGGGGCTCATCCTAATTGTTTAAAAAGTAAAAATTATAACAAGTATAAATACAAGCAATCAAATGAAATGATGTTTAAAGATACTAACAGCTTTAATAACAAATTTGAATGGAATTCTATATGTGTGTAATGGTTTCTTAATGAAATGATATACTTGAATAACTTTATCATTAGTGTCTAGTTTGATTTCATCTTGTGGTATTTCCTAAATATGAAATAGGTTATTTTCCAAAAATAAAGGTAATATAATAAATATCTAAAAGTCACGAAATGAACGAAAGAACAACCTCCGCATATAATGTCATATCTTCCTGCATCATATTTATTGAATCGTTAATATCATATTCTTTTTGAATTTTGCAATTTAAGGCATCATATAATCTAATTCTACTAGTAGGTCTTAATGCTAGTTTGTTTATAATTATTTTAATAATTTCATTAACTATAGCAGTTTTTGGAAGACTAATATCAATCACTTCCTTTAATAATGGAAAATAATTATTAATAATTGCTAATATACAAATCAAGTTTTAAAATATTCTTTTTACCTCTTCATTGACAATTGTTCCAAGCCAGTGCACCTTAAAGAATTTCTTGGATTCTAATTCCACAATATTAATGTCAAGCATCTCATAATATAAAAGTTCCACTGATCTAGGTGGATGGGTTGTTTGAAGCATCTCTGACAGTGTTTGTGTAGTTGTCCTTTCAATTACAGTTTTCTTTGCCGTTGTAAATCGTAATTTCAAAGGATCTGTACTTAGATGAGCAGCAACGCATTTGGCGACCTATAGAAATATAAAGTAGTGAAAGCAAATGCCTATTAATTAAACAAATTTCTAAAACCATAGTATTATGGTAAAATATGATATTTTTGTGAATTCTGTATGAACAGAAACTCGATAAACACACCATAATTTACTATACTTTATCATTCGTAACAATGTACAGACGCAAAGAAAATATTTCAACATACATCATCATAGGTGTATTTCTTATTTAAAACTAATTCAAATTCGGGATATTGTTCATGATCTTTATCTTTCAGTTTAAATTGAATGATGACACGCATACATAATGACTCGTAAAATGTAGGAATATCATGAATACGTCCCGCAGCAGTATGTTCTTGTGTTCTGATTAAAAACAGCAAAGTTCGCTTATAAAAATGAGTTAATAAAACAAGAATAAGAATAAGATAATGAATAATCTACTCTTTTTCATTTAATGCCTTTTGGAAGCAAATTATATCACCATCTTGTATCTCAAATTGTTGAAAAGTCTGTGTGGGATTCATCTCTTGAATCATATTTTGGTTTATTTCCTATATTTTTTAAATAAATAAATATAAATGTCGTTACAATTAATAGAATATAACAATATATATGCAAAATATTTCTTACTTCGTATATTTTCAAGGGTGTATGTGGTGGAAATTTCTTCTTCTCGCGAAGAATTGGAATAATATCATCAACTTTACCAGATTTATGAACATATAAATGACAGAGTCCTCTATTTACATAAGCGTAAAGATTAATACTCGCATAAAATTAGTTAATAGAACAAATTTAAATCACATACTCCAAATATTGTGTATCGGGGTTAAAATACTTAATGAAAACCAATGCATGGGAACAACTTTCTATTGGTGGGAACCATATCTACGTATCAATTAAACAACAATTGAATAGTGAGCAAGAAAGCATATTTAAATATATAATGTATTATTAAATACTAAGTATTACTTTGCCGTTAATTGGTTTTGCCACTTCCAAAAATAATTTCAATTCATTTTGCCTTACTGCCACTTTTGTGTGAATTTGTTCCATTGCTATTTTATAACAAAAGTTAATACAAAGCTTATTACTAAGTGAAGAAAAATGAATAACGTATTTTACATATGACTTACTCATGTCAAGAAAATTGTCTGTTAATTGAGTTTCTGGCCTAACAGTCTGATTTTGGCGATTTACAAGGACCCAAAACCTTATTTGTTCAGTTTTACATTCAAAGTATTTAGCGGCCCAGCCTTTAATATTCCTATATTTTTCATTTTTCAACATTTTATAATGTGGAATTTTAGATAGCGGATATTGTTTATTGCCGAAATTAGCAAGATCAAATCCTTGATAGCTCTCAAAAGTAGCTAGAGTAATAATCTAATAGTAAAAATTGAGAGTAAGGCTTAAATTCCTACGAATAACTAAACTTACTATTGATTCGCATAATGTTGCCACCTAATTACCTTAATATACAGATATAAATGACGGTCTTCGGCCTTTTTTTTTTCCTTTTCATATAAAGCTTTCTCTTTATCTAAGCGACTTTCTATTTACATGTGTACATGAAACATAAATTTACAGCACAATTTCAATTTATTTCTTATAAATAAGATCACTCACTTAGATGGTTTGGCATCTCCTTAGCAAATATGGGAGATAGCACTAAATCGATATCGGATTCACGGATATATATCAACATGTATGCATTTGTAGAGTCGATAGCATTGGAAGTTTCAACTCCATAATTTTTTTCAAGCACTTCTTTATCAGTGACAGGTACAATTATATTATCATCAAACTTGAACCTTTTATGATAATTAATGTTAGTTATCTGACATATTATACGATCTAAAATTAGTTTATTGCTAAAATTCAAACCATTTGCCATTTTTTTCTGGCTTTATAAAAACATGATAACTGCCTTTATGTAAATCACCACTGTGAACAATTACTCTAAATATAATAAAGTCATTAATGTGTGTTGAAAGACATAAATATTTAGAATATTGATATAACTGCTACAAACCCATAAAGTAAATAATTATGCGGTTTTGACCTATCACTATCTGGTGATAAATATCTTTCTAAATCAATTTCAAGAGGATATTCAAGACGATCATTAATCTAAGTATAATTTTTGCAATTATTATTAAATTATTTGAATTAAATACCAGAAGTCATAATAAAAATATAGGTACCTTAACTACAGTATTCATTTGCGAATTATATTCAAATCGTTTTAATTGTATACGTAGGACAGGTGGAAAACTCTCAAAAATTACACCTTTCTTTGCATCCTATAGACAATTATATAATAAAAATCCTTGCTTTTAATTAATTTTCAATAGCATTGTGACAAAAATATGACTCACTTGTAAACCATAAGTTTCAGTTTGATATTCACAAGATTCTTTACGAATATAATTCATGAAAGAATCGCTTAGAGTTTTGTGCCCTTTTACTTCAAGAAGAATATCTATCGCGATAAAATTAATCTTACTTTAAATCAATTTTAAAAATTATAGATACTACATTATGCATATATTCACTAATACCATAGTAATCTTCAATACGTGAACTCTCATAATTTACGTTGGCACATTTAATATAATTCTTAATTTTTCCAGCAAAAAGTTTAGAAATGTCGCCATCTACGTTTGTATTCTTAAACCAAGATACAATTATTAACCAATTTATTGGGGAAAATTTGAATTATTTAAAATATTGTTTAATTCAATAAATAATAACCCCACCTTCATCCTATTCTCTAATACATCTAGTAACACTCTATCAAACTCATGTACATCATGTTGAATTTTACAATCTGACGAATCCCATCCAAAAGATTTTATTAATTCTGTCGTTTCAACTGGAGTATCTGATACTTGCAATTGATAAAAAAGTCTTTGCATGGTTAAAGGAATGCTTTTAGCTGGTTCGTCATCTTCTGTGGGAATTTGATATATCGCCTACAATTAAAAAGTGAGTAACATTATATTGATACGTATAAAAAAGTTCATTTTTAAATCACTAACCGTACGAAAATATTTTATGCTGTATAATAATTGCAATTCGACATTCATATAACTTGTTTCCAATTGATGTTCGAGACCAACATACCCAGTCACTTTTTTTGAATCATAACTATATTAAAAGGTTTACATGAATAAACAATTTTTTAAAATTATACCGTATAGTTCCAAAAACAAGCACCCCTTTTTTGTTATTCGGGTGCTTATTTTCGGATATAAAATGAACAAGAAAACCGGTTTTAAACCAGTTTCTAATCTGATAACTATTAAAAGGGGTGCTTATTTTCGGATATAAAAAAATTATAGGGTGCTTATTTTCGGGGGTGCTTATTTTTGGAACTATACGGTAATATAATTTAAAAGAAAATAGAATACTTTATGAAGTTATGCCATAGGAAACCAGTTGGATCTTTTAAAACGCGAACAAAGGCCGTAATATTACAACTATCGTTTTCTATTAGTGAACGAGTACGATTCTCAGGCGGGATAAACAGTTTACGCTGATTGTGAAACCGCGTAAATCCCCAATATGGTTCTTCGGCAGTAAAACGATGATGCGAATCTATGATAAAATATTAAAATGTTAATGGCATATACTACTAAATGATGAATAATTTTAATACGTACTATGAGGAACAGATATTGTTGGATCTTCTGGATTCCATAAAAAAAGAGCAAATTGTACACAGGAATGCCAATCGGTAGGTGCTCCCTTTGGATCAGCAAAATCCAAATAAATTGAAACAACGTCTGGATTATTATTTCCAGAAGGAAAAAGCAAAATACGCCTAAATTTTAAGTTTATAACCTAATTAACCTAATTAAAACGCGAGTCTATATTTGAGTTATTATATTTAAGTGAACTTACCATTTCCGACCTCCAGCTTCAAATTCAGGACCTGTTATCCTCTTTTCCAAACCGCTCCAACATGCAATTTGCCATGTATGATATTGGAAATCCTCAATTTCATAACCGAGATCTGGCATAATATTATTTGCAATAGCTTGGTCTACAATTCATGAATATAAATAAGCACCAACAAAAGAAATGTAAATAACATAATGTAATTTTAAAAGAATTTTTAAAACAAGTTAAATATTTTTATGAATTATAAACATACAATCTACAATAGCATTAGTCATTTTGTTGGAGTATATTTCGAGAAAAAATAGGTTGGAGATAAAACGAGAGATGGATATGAATTTCAACTTCCATAGAATGGTTACATTATATAATTAGAGAAGGTTTTTATTTACTCATGTGGTCTGTAACATGAATTATAAGAGAATGAATCTAAGTAACAGCTCATGCAACAGTAAATCCTACCAGGTTAAGACGAAATGTTCTTTGTCACAAAAATAGACATGCTTTAATAAGCAATTTTATTAAAAATCACTGTAATACGTACAAACGTATACGTATATCGATACTAATTAATTAAATTGATCATTATCACTATTTAATAGGAAATAAAGTCATAGAAATTGTGAAATAAAGGTTTTACGACAAAAATAAGTGACCTTTTCAAGAAATTTATTAGCATAAATTGAAATTTTAACTTGTAAACTTTCACGACATATATACAATTATTATAATTGATGATAATGGATCTTTTTAAGATCTGAAATCGACTTATGTTGTTTCCGGATTCGAAATATACTTAAGTGGACTCTGAATCCACCTACAACATATACAAGGAAACAGTCTATATTTCTATTTGCTGATTCTAATAAACTTTTTTTTTTCTCTTGAATTTTAGACCCGACCGGGTATTAAAACTAACTTTTATACGGCCTATAAAATTTTTTTAAAAGAAAAACTTATATTAGACTGTTAAATGAATTGTTTTAATATAAAAATTTTTTTTCCATTTTGAGAAAATCATGTTAAAATTAGTAAACCCTGTTTGATCGACATAATTTAGCCAATCACGTGATACTTTCTATGTTCCCACAGCAACAGGACTTGCAAAATCTAATTTTAAACCATGTTTTATCATATATGACATTTAAAAAAGTAGGCATCGACAAAAATTTTATTAAGTAAATAGATGCTTTGAATGTTAAATTATATAGAAGAATAGCCGCTTTATACAATGGTATCATTAACTCAATTTTGCAAAAAATGCCATAAGCCGTGTTTTGTTTACTGGACCCCATATGTACTAAAAAACGCTTATAGCCGGAATTAGGGTTAAATTTAGAAGTTAGGGTAGGTAGTTTTTATATGACGTTAGTAATTCTTGAATAAATAGCAGACATTTTATATAGACCATACTTTCGAGCTCTTGCTCTTCAACTTGCACCGCTCCTATAGAGCTGAGCAGAGGGTTGATAATGCTAAGCAAGCTATCTTTTTATATATTTGGTGTTAAATTGTAAACAAAAATGATTGACTTAGTGAAAATTCCGAGACAGTTTTGTTTTCTGCTTTCAGATTTTTTATTGTTCAGTTGAATTGATAATCATTAATGACCGTTGTAGCAATCATTTATAGCCTAATTTTTTTTACCCGTATTTATGTGGCTATCTCAAGTTTGTGAAACACAAAATGATCAAGACCCAAGAGCTCATCTGTTAGTCCATAATCCGACAGAATAACATCTATTGAATAGGTGTAATAGTATTTATCAATAATTTTAAAAATTTAAAGTAAAAAATTGAAAAATGGGTAAATACCATCATCTATATACTGAGGCTTTGCAAATGATAGCGCTTGTACAACCGCGACTTTCACTTTCGAGAAATCTTTTTCGTTCATTCCTAAGCGTGATTTAAGACGTATCTTTATCCTAGAGAAGGGCTCACCCTGATTGTATAAATGTAAAAATTAATAACAAGTATAAATGCAAGTAATTACATGAAAATGTCATTTAAAGATACTAACCGTTTTAATAACAAATTTGAATGGAACTCCATGCGTGCTTAACGGTTTCTTAGTAAAATGATATACTTGAATAACTTTATCTTTAGCTCCTAGTTCGATTTCATCTTGTGGTATTTTCTAAATACAGAAATATAAAAAGTTATTTTTCAAGAATAAGGGTAGTTTATAACAAATATCCGAAAGTCACAAGAAGTGAATGAAAGGACAAACCTCCGCGTATAACGTCACATTATCTTGTATTTCATCTATTGGATCGTTAATATCATATTCTTTTTGAATTTTGCAGTGTAAGACGCCATATAATCTAATTTTACTTGAACGTTTTAATGCTAGTTTTGTTACAATTATTTGAAAAATTTGATTAACTTTAGCAGTTTTTGGAAGATGAATATCAATCACTTCCTATTAAAAGAAAAAATAATGATTGTTAATAAATCGTCTAATATATAAATCTAAATATAAATCTAAATCTAAATATAAATCTAAATATAAATCTAAATATAATAATATTCTTTTTACCTCTTCTTTGACAGCTGCTCCAAGCCAGTATACTTTAAAAAATATTTTAGTTTCTAATTCCACAATACTAATATCAAGCATCTCATAATATAAGAGTATTGATTCAGATGGATAGTTTGTTTGAAGTATCTCTGACAGTGTTTGTGTGGTCGTCCTTTTAATTACAGTTTTGTTTGCCATGGTAAATCGTAATTTCAAAGGTTCCGTGCTTAAAAAAATAGCAACGCGTCTAGCAACCTAAAGAATATGAAGAGACGAAAATTAATACTATCAACTGAATAAATTGTTAAGATCATATAGTGTTGTGGTGAGTATGATATTTTTGTGAATTTCTATACGAAGACTCGATAAAATATCATACTTCGCTATAATTCCTCATTTAATAATAATTTCAACGTACATCATCATATGTGCATTTCTATATTTCGGTTTAAACTGAATTATGATGCGCATAGATAATGACTCGTAGAACGTAGGGATGTCATGAATACGACCCACAGCAGTATGTTCTTTAATTCTAAATTGAGAATGGAAATTCAAATGAATAAAAAATGAGACAAGATTAGGTTAAGAAAATAACTTACTCTTTCTCTGTTAAAGTCTTTTGGAAACAAATTATATCACCATTTTGTATCTCGGATTTATTAAAACTATATTTAGGATTCATCTCTTCAATTATGTCAGGCTTTATTTCCTATTTTTTTAATAAATAAAAGGGTCGTTATGATCAACAAAACAAGACAAATGTGTGTGCAAATATATCTTACTTCGTATATTTTCAAGGGTGTATGTGGTGATAATTCCTTTTTCTCACAAAGAATTGGAATAAAATCGCAAACTTTACTAAACCTTTGAACATATAAATGACCGAGTCCTCTGTTTACACAGGTTTAAATATTTTAATTCTCTTATCAAATGAATTAATAATAAAAATTTAAATAACATACTCTAGAGATTGCGTATCAGGATTAAAATACTTAACGAAAACCAATATATAAGATTTTATTCTTGCTGGTGGGAACCATATCTACGTATCAAATAAACAACAATTTAAATAATGAGCGAAATAGATTTTAAATACTAAATATATTACTTTGTTGTTAATTGGTTTTGCCACTTCCAAAAATAATTTTAATTCATTGTGTCTTGGTACTAATTTTTTGTGAATTTTTTCCATTGTTATTCATCACAAAAAAATTAATATATTGATAGAAGCTTATTATGAATGAAACCTAATTATACTTTACCTGTTGCATATAACTTATTCTTCCCAAAATAATTGCTTGTTATTGGAGTATCTGGCCTAATAGTCCTATTCTGGCGTTTTAAAAAAACCCAGAGTCTTATTGCTCAATTGGAATTCCAAATTTGTGTGCGACCATAGCTTTGAAATCTCCATATGTCTCACTTTTCAAAACCTTAAACTGTGGAACTTCAGGTAGCGGATATTGTTTATTGTCGAAATTTACAAGATCAAATCCTTGATAGCGCTCAAAGATAGCTGGAGTCATAATCTAATAGTAAAAGTTGAGAGTAAATATTTAAATTTACTATTGATTCGCATAACGTCGTTACCTAATTACCTTAACAGACAGATATGAATAAGAGTTTTCGGTTTCTTTTTTTCTCTGTTCAATTAAAGCTTTCTCTTCATCTAAACGTATTTCTATTAACACATGAGCATAGAAATATAAGTTTACAGCGCAATTTCAAATAATAATGTCAAATAAATGAAATCACCCACGCAGATGTCTTGGTATATCCTCAGCAAGTATGGGAGATAGCACAAAATCGATATCGGATTCGCGGATATATATCAACATGTATGCATTCGTAGAACTGTTAGCCTTAGTAATTTCAACTCCATAATTATCTCCAAGCACTTCTTTATCAATTACAGGTATAATTCTATGATTATCGAATTTAAACCTATTATAATAATTAATGTTAGTTAATGGTACAGTATATCTAACATATTATTACGATCTAAAAATTAATTCATTGTTAAAATTCAAACCATTTGCCATTCTTTTCTGGTTTTAAAAACACATAATAACTGCCTTCATATAAATCAATTACTCTAAATATAAAAAAAGTTCTTAATATAGTTTAATAGCCATAGATATTTAGAATATTTTAATACCACTGTTACAAACCCATGAAGTAAATAATTATGCGGTTTTGACCTATCATTATCTGATGATAAATATCTTCCTAAATCAATTTCCAGAGGATATTCGAGACGATCATTTATCTATGCACAACTTTCTAGTCAATAAATTATTGAAATAAATACTAGAGGGTATAATAAAAATATAGGTACTTTAACTACAGTATCTCTTTGCGAATCATATTCAAACCGTTTTAATTGTATACGTAATACGGGTGGAAAACTCTCAAAATTTACACCTTTTTTTACATCCTACAATTATATAATCAAAAAATCTCTGTATTTATTGTAGTTTTCAGTAATTCTGTGACAAATGTGAATTACTTGCAAACCATAAGTTTCAGTTTGATATTCACAAGATTCTTCACGAATATAATTCATGAAAGAATCGTTTAATGTTTTGTGTCCTTTTACTTCAAGAAGAATATCTATCATGATAAAATTAATCTTACTTTAAATCAATATTAAAATTTATAGATATTATATGTATATATTCATTAATACCATAGTAATCTTCAATATGTGATCTTTCATAATTTACGTTGACACATCTAACATAACTCTTCATTTTTCCAACAAAAAGTCGAGAAATGGCATCAGCTACATTTGTATTCTTAAACCAGATATAAGTGTCAACTAATTTATAGTGTAAAAATTCCGAATAATTTGAAATATTGTTTAATTCAATAAACGAAAACCCACCTTCATTTTATTCTCTATATAATCTAGTAACACTCTATCAAACTCTTGCACATCATGCTGCGTGTTACAAGCTGACGAATCCCACCCAAAAGAGTTCGTTTATTCCGTTGTTATAACTGGAGTATCTGATATTTGTAATTGATAAAAAAGTCTTTGCATAGCCAAAGGAACACTTTTGGCTGGTTCATCATCTTCTGTCGGAATTTGATATATCGCCTATAAATAAAAAAAAGTGATATTATTATATTTGATGTAAAAAGGTTTATTTTTTTATTTTCAAATCAAGTAGAAGCACTAACCTTACGAAAATATTTTAGACTGTATAATAATTGTAACTCGACATTCATATAATTGGTTGCACCTCGACTTTTTAGACCAACATATCCAGTCATTTTTTTCGAATCATAATCTCTGTATATTAAAAAGGTTTGTTGAAAAGGTAATTTAAAAGCATAATATGATTTAAAAGAAGATAAAATACTTTATAAAGTTATGCCATGGGATACCAATTGGTTCCTTTAAAATGCGAACGAAAGCCGTAATGTTACAACTATCATTTTCTATTAGTGAACGAGTTTGATTCTCTGATGGGGTAAACAAATTTTGCTGGCCATAAAACCGCTTAAATCCCCAATCCGGTTCATTAGCATTGAAGCAATGATATGAATCTGTAATCAAAGATTAATATATTAATGGTATAGACTACTAAATGCCGAATAATTTAATACATACTATGAGGAACAGATATTGTTGGATCTTCTGAATTCCATAAGAGTAAAGCAAATTGTATGCAGGAATGCCAACCAGCAGGTGCTTCTATTAAATCAGCAAAATCCAGATAAATTGAAACAACATCTGAATTTTTATTTCCAGAAGGAAAAAGTAAAATACGCCTAAATTTTAAATTATAATCTAATTAGAACATTAATCTATATTAATCATTATATTTAAGTGAGCCTACCATTTCCAACCTCCAGCTATAAATTCAGGACCTGTTATTCTCTTTTCTAAACTTTTCCAATTTGTGATTCGCCATGTATGATATTGGAAATCCTCAATTTCATAACCAAGATTTGGCATAATATTATTTGCAATATCTTGGTCTACATTATTAATATAAATGTAGCAAAACTGGAAATGTTAACATCATAGTATAATTTTAACAATTTTTTAAGGCTAGTTTAATATCATGATTTTCGTTAAAATAATTATAATATTATAAAACATACAATCTATAATAGCATTAGTCATTTTTTTTTGGATATATTTCGAGAAAAAAAATTACAAATTCAAAGTAATAATTACAGATACCATGTTTAAGATTATTGGATTAAACTTAGCCTAGCCTCAATAGAATGGTTACACCATGTATTGATTCGGGGATCAGCTAAATCGGAGTTTTTGAGTTAATTGCCCGGAGCGTATCGGAGGGCATTTAGTGTTTAATCATGGTGATACATTATGTAATTAATACTTGATTGGTCACCTTTATTTTTTCGTCATAATATGAATAACGATAGGATGTCAAAAAAAATCGCTTTTTAATGATTTTTACATGTTTTTTAACACGATTCAATAAAACGGTTTAATATTGTTGATTGATTATGGCGTTGATGGATGAAACTAAAATTACTGTATTTAATTGGTTAATTTCAACTTCAAAGTTGCTGTTAAATTTTTATTTATCATTAAAATACACTATTTCTTCATCAATCATAATCGCATCAGTATTATTAATCCTGGCATCAATATCAGTGATGTTTTAAAACATATAGAAAATGATTTTAATGTAATTTAAAACATTACACCTTATATTATTTGCTATCCTAATGACAATTTTTATAGTAAAATTTTTTAAAAGTTCCTTATAAAATTAATTTACCTTACCGGACCAAATTTTTTTAAAAAAATGTCATTATAGAGCAGTTTATTATCTGTTTACATTGCATAGTGCATCAATGTAAAATGGGATCACGAGATTGGATTATCGTGACTGCGCATTCGATTTACTGTTAGTGGTCACTGCTCTTTACGTTATTCTTTTCGGAATATTCCAGAATCTTTTCTTTTCCTAATTCCTCCCGACATTATGCTCTCTGGCACAAATTGTAAATTTCTATCCTAATTTTTTTTTTTTTTAACGGAGTGTGATAGGGAAAATTAAAGAGAGGGAGGTGATGTAAAATTGGTCTTTCCTTACTTCACATTTAATTTTCCCATATATGTAAACCTTTAAAATGCGCATAAACAATCATGCGCATGCATGAATCCATCCCCAGTTTTTAATCCACTAAACTAATTAGAGACGATTCACTTTTTCCATATTTATTGCTCTTTGTAAAATGATTGACCTCCTTCCTATATAATGACTACGCCAGGGCGTAGGATTGATTTTACTGTCATGTGATCCCCGATCCGATGATCCGATGATCGACCTGCTACGTCGCACATGCATTTTGTATTACAAATTTTATCGCTTAACAAAAATACAGTTCGCATCGTCAATAATGAACTATGAACTTTGAAATATTATCGTGAACCAAATATTTTACATTGAAAATTTTTTAGTGTTCTATTTTCTATTTGATAGATTCTACAACGGAAATATTTTACTTTTTTTGGGTTTAAAAACTATTTTTTTGTAATTTTAACAAGTTTTGCTAAAGTTTTTGCGAAGATACAAAATAAATTTAGCTAAGTATTTTTTTTTTTTAAGACAAAATCCTTGCTTTTAATTAATTTCGAAGTTACTCAAAATATAATAATAATCTTTTATATTATATTAAGTTTTGTCGTTGCTTAAAAATAAGGTCCAAGGTTTGGAATCACTCCATGTTGTACGTCGTTTTCTATGGCTTTTTGCTTTTTCTATATCTGAGAGAATAGTAAAAGCATGGTTTAAATTATTTACAATAGATTCTACATGTTGTAAGTTATTTGCTGTTAGTTCTACATTAATGTGATCAACTAAACGTTGCAATGCCACTGCTTTAGACTCAAGAATCTGGCGTTTGTTAGTAAGGATTTTATGATCTTCATCCATATTATAGTGATCTATAGTATTAATCTGATCATACGTTCTAATAGTTTCTATATTTTCAGATACGTTTTGTGTTACACTTCCATTACATATCAAAAAGGGATAATCAGATTGTCATTTAAAATTAGAATATATCAATCTGATCCCCTCAGAATTATTTGTACTTTCTGACACTTTATGAACTAAATGCTTACATATGAGAAAGCGATTGTTAAGAAACGATGGGCAACTGCAAATCCAGCGGTCTAAATCAATAAAATACGAATTATTATGATTTGGTAATTTGGTAAGAAGATTTCTCCATTGTCTTTTAAATTCATCAAACCACGCTGGTTCTATTCTACCAGTTGCTAATTGCTGAAATCGATCAAACTGGTCA